TTGAGGCACCAGTGCTTGCGGCCAAGGTGTATAGCTTGCGGTTCTACGGGGGTTAGGGCTCCTGTGATGCAAGGCCAAACACGGACGGTGGCCTTAAAACTGCAGGAAGACTATATGGCTAAGGGCTCAACGACTGTGGGGCCCATGCAAGGTCCCCGAATCTCGTACCAGAACAAACAGACTTGAAGAACTGTTAGACTGTTAGTGTATATACGGGACAGGCATCTGCAGCCTGTAGGGTATCCTGCTGCGTCTTGCTGCTATCCTAAGCCCTAAACCCTTATAATTGTATCCTAAACCCCAAACCCCTAAACCTCAAAACCACCACACCCTAAACCCTTAACCCCAAACCCAAAAACCCAACACCCAAACCCCTAAACCCTATAAACCTGAACCCTAAATTCTAAACACTAGACCCCTAAACCCCTGAAGAACTCCGAAAACCTCGCAACCCCCCCGCAGCCGGTGCAGACCAAGGCACTTCATTCCCGTGACGCGAAAGGCAAAAGTGTCTCCAGGCTCCGCCTCCTGTGGGTTTAGGGTTTAGGGTTTAGGGTTTAAGGTTTAGGGTTAGGGTTTAGGGTTTAAGGTTTAGGGTTTAGGGGCCTCCCGTGGGTACTAATAGTAGTGTTATTGCTATGGAAATTCTTGCTGTTGTTATTACTGCTGTGGTGCTTGTTACGTTGTTCCTGCTAGCATCACTATCATCCTTATTATTATGATGACTGTCATCTTCTTACGACAATCATTACGATGGTTACCCGTATTGTTGTTAGTACTAGTCTATTGTTTACAAATATGATGTTCTTAGTTATATAAGTATTATGAGTAGAGCTACTTACAGGACAATGGGACTTCGTGACTAGGTTCAAAAATCAGGTAGCTAGACAGCTGGACTTATAGCTACCTAGAATCCCAAGCAAGGCACGCGACAATTTTTTGCTTAATAAGTACCATGATCCTTTCTGTAGGGCTTAGTCTGTTGTAAGGTGCCTGGTGCTGCAAGGATCAAGAGACCTCGTAAATAGGCGAACTCTACTTAAGAGGCTGCTGCAATCGTCCGCTATTTACTTATGTGGGATCTGATTCATGAAGCTGCGGCTGGCCGGAACTTTCACTGGCGCAAGCCCAGAGTCCAAAAGGCCAACTGGCCAATAGAGTCTGGGGCTTTAGGGCTTCGGGCATTCAGGGCTTGAGGGCATACGCAACGTACTGTCGAGGATATAAATGAGTTGAGGGCACCCACCCTAAACCCTAAACCCTAAACCCTGAACCCTAAAGCCTAAAGCCTAAAGCCTAAACCCTCCCCCCGACAACCAAACCCTAAACCCTAAACCCTGAACCCTGAGGCCTACACTCTAAGGCCCCAACCTGCGACAGCAGCGGCGAGGCCATCTGAGTGGATGCTAGGGCTGCCATGGCCTCTGCGAAGGGGAGACGGAGCTCCCAGTGCTCCTGGCGAGGCCTTTACTAAAAGAGGCTGGGATGCTGAAGCCCAAACAATTCAGCAGCAGCATCTCCAAGCAAGAGATTTAAGCTTTGGGCTTTTAGGGTCTATGGCTAGGGTACCGCTTGAACCCTGTGTAGGATTCGAACTACAGCTAGCTACTAGCTCCATGTAATAGATGCTGTGTGGGTTCTCAGGTCCTCCAAGTAGGCACCAAGCCATATATCCACAATTCGCGCTCTCCATTTCGGAGCAGTCGTCGAACACCATCTACATCATATGCCCGGAAATCCAATTTGAGTACATGGCAAAGGACTTTGGGTATAATTGAACTACATGTACCTACTCCTTTTACGTTACATAGTTTGGGCACCAAATTACATAGGTTCAGAGCTTACTGGTAGGACTTGAGCGGGCCACGCTGGGAGCTTGGCGCCTCTGAAAGCTAATCCCTACACGGTTCACACGAATTAGAATAATGGGGTATGTCCTGCAAAAACTATACAGAGACTATTGGGCAGGATTGTTCGCTGCCAAACATTCAGACCGCCATAGCGCAATCAAGAGCTGGAACTTCGGGTTTACTGTTTCGGGTTTGGGCTGTGGGGAATGGGTTTAGGGTTTAGGGTTTACCGTCTCCTGTTTGTTTTGTCCTGGGGTTTATGGGGTATGGGCTGCTACTGACACTCCGAATTCCAGAAGCCTAAAGCCAAAGCCCTCAACCTTATAAAGCCTGCTTGGAAGATCTTGGGACTTGGTAACTAGGGGTACACGTAAGGTAGCTACAACTGTCATTACTTCAAACCCCGATTAGGGTGCTTATAGCCATACTTACCAAGTCCCAACGTGGATGCTACAAAACCTCCCTCTTCTAGCAAGTGGCCCAGGAAAGCTGTGGCTCTCAACAGGCTCAGCTGAGTTCATAGGGTATGTACATATAGCTGTGTGTATATATCTGCAATTATGTATAAGTTGAAATGTTACCCTATACCCTAAACTCTAAACTGAAAGATATTATGGAAACCAAGACAAGTAGCCCCAACTTGGAGGCTTGGCCTTGGGGGTTGGGCCATCCGGTCTTGGCTTGAGCATCCTGAACGCTAACTTATCTTCCTTCCCAATAAGCCAGGGAAATAAACTGTTCAGCTTTCAGGTTACTACTAAATTATAAGAACCCCAGAAGTTTAAAGGTAAACCCTAAACCCTAAACCCTAAACCCTAAACCGTGGGTATTGGGGAACTTAGTTGCTTTGGTGCATCATCTTGTCTACCAGCCGCATGTAGGGTTTGAAGGGGCTCCGGGGGGCTAGAGCGCAAAAGTTCGGGGTTTGGTAGGGTTTAGGGTTTAGGGTTTAGGGTTTAGGGTTTAGGGTTTAGGGTTTAGGGTTTAGAGTTTAGGGTTTAGGGTTTAGGGTTTAGGGTTTCGGGCTTTGGGGTTTCGGCTCTGCTGTTTAGGGTTTGGGGTGTCAGGCAGAAGGTTGGGGAGTTGGAGTAGTTTTAAGCCATTCGGCTTGGGGATATCGCTTTAGAACCGGTTTAGGGTTTAGGGTTTAGGGTTTAGGGCGGCTGAATAAGAAACTTCAAGCGCCGAAACCCGGGCCCAAACCTCCTCCTGTTACGCGCGCGGATGGCACGCAATTTCCAAATAACTTTGGCCAGAGTGCTTGTAAGCACAAGGAGCCTTATCTTATGTAGTAGCTCCTTGAAGGCACCCTGCAGTTACCCTTAAAGGACGTTTTCATGGGAAGCTGCTAGAATGCAAGTCAGGAGTCCTATCCCCGAAATGCCCAAGCAATGCAAAAGACCGGTGGATTTTGTCACGCAGACCAGGTCTTCTGTGGCAGTCGCCGACACCTGATCCTCGGCTGTTGCGGAGGGCTCAAAAATGAAACCAATCTGCCGCTGAAGGAATATACACCAAGCCCAACTCTAAGCGCTTCAATCTTAAGCCTATAAACCGTGTACCCGTAAGCCTAAGATAATTCTTAACACCCGAGAGCCTAAACCTGATAAACCGTAACGCCTATAAGCCTTACAAACACGGCAGCCTTCACGTTAAACCCGCAACACCCTCAAGTCTTGAAACCTGTAACTTGCGGCAACGCGGCCAGCAAAGGTGGTAAGGCCGCCTCCCATACGGGTTCAGGGTTCTGGCGCAGAGGGATTAGAAAAGGGTCTTGGGTGATGTAAAGCTTCCACCACCAGCGCCTTGATAACTAGAATCGGGCTTGATGGGCAGATGAAAGCGATAGCTTCCTGATAGAGTTGGACCTAGTAAGAAAGTTTTGAAGTACCTTAATTGGGGTTATCAGTAATTATAGCTATAGCTACCTTCTAAGTATAGGAGGATACTGTTACTAGTTTCTGCAACCTCCATATCGGGCGTTGTGCGCTGATCGGCCCAGACGTTTTGATATCCCTTGATTAAACAGACCTGAATTCATGTTTGGGTACTCCTTATTAAGGAACTCAACTTTTTCATTTAAGAACCCAGAGTACCACAGGGGAGTTTCCGAAACTGAGGGGTACCTTATTTTGGGGTCCTTATAATAAGGATGCTACTATTTTGTGTACTATATCAGGGCCCCTTATTTTCGGAAACCCCATATTAAGGAACACCATTACTTCACTAAAGGTCAATATGACGGTCCATTAGAAATGAGGGAACAACATTGTTTCAATGGAGTATGGATCCCACTTGTGGTACACTGTAGCTTAGGTGCAGCTCTTCAAGCAGAGACCAGAAAGCCTACGCCGTGGAACACATCCTAGACCCTACAACACAAGCCCCAGCAACCGCACGCCGCAAGTCCAACCCCACACTCCTCCTGATTAAGGGGCTAGGGTTTGGGGTATTCAAAAGCATTGGGAAGGCTAAGGAATAGTAGTAGTACTTATTCAGGCTTCTATATTCCAACCTCGGCTGTAAACCGTTGACAGCAAGTAGGTGTTAAACACCCAAACTCTCCTTCAACAATCAGGCATCAGGCCACAATCCAGTTCATGTCTACATAGGTCAAAGACTAGGTTCCCCAGTAGCTCCTTAGCACTACATAAGGGTACCCTTTTTGATACTATTCGGATTCAAAGGGCAAAAGGGTAGCACTGCGAGACCTAGAAGATAGATGCGCATCAACAAGTTAACAGGTCTTCCAGTGACTAAGCAACCTACTGTAAACCCTGATCAGCGCCGAGTTAGCTAATCTCAACATGCCCTTGGACTGATGTTACAATCCACAAGTCCGTATCATTTCTCAAAAGGCAGCATAGCTGGCCCTTTAACGCCTTCGAACAAATATTCGTAAATAAACCCGTCTTTGGCCCAATCAATATTAAAGGGAACATGTCAAACGTCCCAAATGCCTACCTAGGCATGAGGGTTTGCTTCACCGATTCGGATTTTAAACCTGGCGGGCGTGCCAGGGTTGTGCTCTGACACAACAGCAATCTTTTCAAGCACCACTTTCGAGAGCACGTGTGCGAAACCACCGATGATAACAGAGAGATGTGAGCGACGTTGCAGTGAACTCTGACCTTCGCCTGTGCAGTCTATTTAAACACCAGCTTCCAGCAGACGCGCAACCTCCTGGTGACCATGCTCAGATGCCAACATTGCGGCTGTCCTCCCGTCCTCGTCTGCGATGTGCTTTGCAGCGCGAGCTTCCAGAAGCAAGCGAGCGATCTCCAGCTGCCCGCGGGCAGCGGCCTGCATTAGTGCTGTCATGCCGCACATGTCCTGGCAGTATGTTTCAGCACGAGCCTCCAGCAGCAAACGTGCGACCTTCACATGGCCACTGGTCGATGCAAACATTAGGGCGGTTTGGCATTGATTATCTATGTGATTTTTGTCAGCACCAGCTTCCAGCAGCGCTCGTACAACTTCCCGGTGACCATACCATGATGCGAACATTAGGGCTGTTTGCCCGCAACCGTCTTCGAGATCCTTTTTAGCACCAGCTTCCAGAAGCAAGCGGGCGACCTCCAAGTGACCATTCCTGGATGCGAGCATAAGAAATGTCTTGCCGGCATCGTCTCTGCGATCTGCTCCTACACCGGCTTCCAGCAAGTAGCGTGCCACTTTCTCACAATTCCGCCGGGCAGCATCTGCCAGCTCTGCTTCAGCAAATCTGGCAGTTTTGTCGCTTGGCGAAAGCCCCGAGATGGTCAACAGCACTAGCTGCAAGTCCATCGGGGCATCCAGTTCTGCACAACCCTCCAAGAGATTCCCTTCGTGCATAAGTTGCTGCAAAGAGAAAGGAAAACCATACACTTCGCGCAAATGCTCCTTCAAAGCTGCTGCATCCTTGAACTCCTCTGCGCTCACAGGGGCCAGCTCTTGCCCAGAAGGTCGCCAGACACGAAGCATTGCGGAGGTACGCAGTGGTCGTGGTAGCTGACAACTATATAACGTGTAGTAGCAGTCGTCGTGGTAGTGACGGCGGCGTCAGGGTGGGCAGCACAATTCGAAACTTCTCACGCAAAAGCTTCTCGGGTTCCCATGCAGATTCCTGGCAGATCCTACTATGTGTAGTGGCTCGTTTTTTGTACATCCTTTACCCCAAACCTCACTCCTGATTAGCACAGGTCCTATAACCTCAGCCCTAAAATACCATATGTATCTATATATATATATACATATATACATATATATATATATACATACCACGCACGTGTCACTTTGCGGGATTCTGTAACAGCCCTACAGGACGCCGCAAAGCCCCACTTCTATGCTTGCTAGATCCATGAGGGCTCTGCGATCCGGACAGAGGTCCTCAGCCACTTCTTGAATGACTTCTGAACCCCGCCTAAAAGATAAACCCTAAACCCTAAACCCTTTTAGCATCCTCATTATAGTTCATATGGGAGTTTCCGAAAGTAGGGGACCCTAATATAGTACCCTAAACAATAGGATGCTTCTTATAAGGACCCAAAAATAAGGTACCCTAATTCTCGGAAACCCCATATAGCAGCCCCAAGCGGTTAAAGTCCTATGAGCCAACCAGAACGACACCAAGACGTGAGCCCCAGCCCAAAAGTCCAAAAGAAGCCGAGGGAAAGATCGACCTCTCCCTAAAACCCTAGGGTTTAGGGTTTATGGTCGAGGGCATCGGGTCTAGGGTTTAAGGTTTAGGGTTTAGGGTCGGGTCTAAACCCTAAACCCTCAGTACTTTCCTTTACTATCGGCGGCACCGGCCATCTTTAGGAGCAGAGTAGAGTTTACGGGTTTAGGATTTAGGGATTCCTATAACCACCCTTCTAAAGCCGTTTCAAGCCCTTCTTGAACGGGAGGGCTCCTCCTTTAGAGGAATCCCTTTGTTAACGGAAACTACAGGTGGGGAGTTTAGGGCATATAGGGCTCCTACAAGGCTTCCATAAGGTATATAGACCTTCTTTAATTTAAGGCTCCTATATAACGGTAACTACCCACCTGAAAATGTCCTAGACTTTGTGAAGAGCAGCAACAGCAAGAACGAGGCCGCCTCGCCGGCGCAAACATCCACCAACGCTGGCACTGAGGGGTTTTCCAGCTGAGCCTGGGAGTGTTGGTGGGGAGTACAGGGTTTAAACTAGAAGAAAGACAGATGGAACACGAGTATTCTCAGGACTTAGGTAAAGTATAAGGGATCCCAGCACTAAATCCTCCTGGTTTGGGATTTATCGGGTTTATGGTTTATAGGGTTCAGGGCTCATAGGGTTTAGGGTTTATAGGGCCCGCAGGGCTCATGGGGCTTGTGCGTTCGTCGGGTGGATAGGGCTTAGGGGTTACAGGGTTTAATGTTCAGAGGGCTTTTTGGGCTTATAGGGTTTGCAGGATTTACCATTACTTCTAGAAACAAACTACTGAAACCCTAAACGCCTGCTGAGTAGTCTTTGCTTTTTGAAGGCCGTGTTCCCTTGAAAAGAAGGCTCATGGCATGCTTGGGCTGAAGTTCTAAAGCGTCGTTGTTGTTCAGGCTTCCAGTGCAAGAGCTTCAGGGTTTAGGGTTTAGGGAAGTAAGGGTTCTACCAAGACCCTCTAACTGCCCTCTAATATGCCTATATACCCACCAATAAGGACCACAAGGGTCTATTAAGGTCGTCTAAGGATTACGGCTTTGTTGGGGGGTTATATACGGCAATGTTGCCGATGATGCTCCAACTCTTTGCCAGTCAATGTCAGCCCCTTCTGAATAAAAGCTCCTTTCCCTAGCAAGAACTTTAAAATATACATCCCGATATTACTGCATGTAAAGACTACAGATTTGCTCATCAAGGGCTTACCCAAACCGGAATCCTACTACTAAGCTGGCTTAAGATAAGCTTTCCTGTAGAGTCTTTGGACATAATGGGCACCCCCCCAAAAAGTACAAGGCTTAAGATAAGCCCTGTGCCTAAACCCTCAACCTTTTAGGGGCTTTGTGTCCTAATGGGTCCTGGATTCAGCCACGGAGCCAGCAGTTCGATCCCCTTCCGCCAAGGGAGGTGCCGCCCTTGCACATTCAGATTTGGAGTTTAGAGGTTTAGGGTTTAAGGTTTAGGATGGTTTAGGCTTTAGGTTTGGGGTTTCGGATTTAAGTTTAAGGGTTTAGGGGTTTAGGGCGTAGGGTTCAAAGGGCTTCTAGATCGAAGACGGTTGAAGGGCTGGCATGACAGTTTCTGAGCCCTGAGCTATAGCGGGTTCAGAAATGCTTAAGAAGCAAATTCTTGCAAACATAAAGGGTGTATGAGAGACTTATGAGTCTGTAGAACACTAGCCTAAACCCTAAACCCTAAACCCTAAACCCTAAACCCTACTAGAAGTTCATAGCCCCCGCTTTCATGCCGATTCATGCGAGCTTGCATGGGGGGCAGAAGACCCAAGAGCTCTGCTGAACCCTAAAGTTTAGGGTTTAGGGTTTAGGGGTTTAGGGTTTAGGGTTTAGGGTTTAGGGTTTAGGGTTTAGGGGTTAGGGTTTAGGGTTTAGGGTTTAGGTTTATAAACCCTAAACCCCTAAATTCCCTAAACCCTCGTGCTGCAGAGCTCATCGCCGAGGCAAAACTCGATGAGACTGAGTACGCTGCGTAGTCCCGGCAATCCCCTTTATGCCCTAAGGGTCCATGCACCAAGGATTCCTTTAAGTGGTACCAGAAGAGTTCTATAGGGGGGAAGCGTTCAGGACTTAAGGTTTAACGCTCCATGTGCCCAGTTCGTATATACGTGGGCCCTAAGGTACCTAGATAGGGACTACATTTAGGCCAATCGTATGTGCAAGCACTAAGGGATCAGCTTCTTAACACACAGTCACCACTTGGGTCGTGAGGCATCCGGCTCCTGGCTAAAAGCTGGCAGCCATGCGTCCCGAGCAGGACTTCTCTGGCGAACTTCGGCTGTTCGAACACCTACCTGGCCTACCTGGACCCCAAATAACGTACCTTTTTAAGGACGTATATAAGGAATCATAGTCGGAAGCCCTGAAAAGGAAGGTGCATAGGGTCCAGGTAAACCCTAAACCCCAGTACAACTACACCCGAAAAGATCGACACCCGATGCACTGATATAAGGGGCCTTGATAATTAGAATAGGGTTTTGGGGCCCGTTATACGAGAATTATGATAAGTAACCCCGCCTCAAAATAGTATTGGCAATTAAATAGGCCCCTACATTAAATGCCCAAAACCTTAAGTAAGCCCCCAACCCAGAGCCGAAACACTACACCCCGCGCTAGACTAAGAAAGGCAAACCTAAACAGGGGGCGTCGCCATAGTGCGGTCATCTATAAGGGCCATGTAGGGTTTAAGGTGAACGGTTCCACCTTCGTTAAGTTAGGGGTCAAACCTAAAACACACTAAACCACAAACCTCTATAGTATCATCCCGCATATGTAAACATGGGTTAAACGTTTTTTCGGCACAGTGGGTCCATTACCCAGATCCGTAAGAGGATCCGAAACGTAGATCTCCTATGGGGGTTCCCACCAAGTACCAAGTAGTAGTATAGGGACCCAACTGAATCATGCACTACCGTTTCTAGGGTCTAACAGCACAGAGTTACAGATTAACGAAAAAGGATCATGAAACTAAAATCAACAGTAAGGCCCTAAACCCTAAACCCTAAACCCTAAACCCTAAACCCTAAACCCTAAACCCTAAACCCTAAACCTAAACTCTCTGATCCTCCAAGTATCCGTGTGAACGAACATATCGAAAACAAACAGCTTTAGGGTTTAGGGTTTAGGGTTTAGGGTTTAGGGTTTAGGGTTTAGGGTTTAGGGTTTAGGGTTTAGGGTTATCAGCAACAAGTTAAGCTGTAAACTGTCGACGATTACTCTTCGAACCCCTATCTTAACCCCAGAACCGTTTGCAACACAATGCAGCACCCTATAACCTAGAGCTGGAACTTTATGAGCTCATCATCCAAAACCCCTAGGCAACCAAACAAAACCCGAGAAATCACATCTCTAGAAACCCCCTGCAAGGGCAGCGGGCCTGCCGCAAGAGTGGATCGAAGTGTTACCTGACGCAATTGGAAGATCCGAAGACTTGGATCTAAAAAGAAGGGTTTTGGGGTTCGGATTTTGCGGTCTTCTGGGTGGTAGGGCTTACAGGATCTAGGTATTTTTGGTTTAAAGCTTTTTGGTTAGGGTAGAGCCCTTAAGCGGAATCCTATAGAGTTCCACGAAGAAGTATAGGGTCCCAAATTCGGGGATCTACTCTTTAGATCCTCCCGGTAGTCTGGGTGAAAAATCCGAACCCTCGATGTGCCTTCGTGAGGGTTTTTAGTGGAAGGGAGCTTCTGCAGGGATTCGCAAAGTCATTTTGCAGGTCCCTGAACCCTATTCTCCTAAACTCTAACCCATTGTAGGGTTCCATCCGTCGCACCCTCAACCCCAAGCCCTGAAAGTACCCCTGTAGATCCCTTAGAGGGGGCCTTACATCCCTAAGCACAAAACCCTTACACTATCCTTACAGATCCCTCAATGGGAGCCTTTTTTCCTCTCTAAGCCCCATGGTCCTCCTACCATACAACCATAAAATCTTACACCCTGAATAAGCCCTTCTAGTACCCTTCAAGAACCTTTTAAACAAGGGGATGTTTTAAAGAACCCTGCAATTACCCTAGTCTCCCCCTATTAGATGTTTCGCGCGCCTCGTCCCGGCGAAGCGAATGCTCGCCAAGGGCCGCGGCCAGGCTAGCAGCGCGCTGCCAGGCCGTGGTGCTGCACGGAAGATTTGGAAGAAAGAAGGCTTCTAATGGGTTCACGGCTGAATTGCAGGGTTGAAGGCTTATAATTATGTTCAGAGGCTTTAAAATTTACAAAATCCCGACTGTTTAGCTGGGCTTCAAGGGTTTAGGGTTACGGAAAGAAAGAAGGCTCTTAATGGGTTTGGGCTCAGGGTTTGGGGTCC